CACTGAGCCTGCTTGGGATTCTCTCTCTCCCTCTCTGTCTCTGTCTCTCCCCTGCTCTCTCAAAAATAAGTAAATAAAGTTTAGAAAGTTAAAATGAACATAAATAACATCCGATATTGCGATTATTAATAAACATTTGGGGAGGGGAGGCTTTAAAAAAAGAATTATTTTCTGGTATGGCACCAAAATGTTCTAATGTCCTTAATTAAAACATTGATACTCTTCTTCATTATTCTAGATTCTTTTTCTAATTATGAAAGACATCGGACGCCTGGGTGGCTCAGCTGGTTGAGCGTCTGACTTTGGCTCAGGTCATGATCTCATGGTTTATGGGTTCGAGCCCAGCGTTGGGGTCTGTGCTGACTCTCAGAGCCTGGAGCCTGTTTTGGATTTTGTGGCTCCCTGTCTCTCTGCCCCTCCTCTGCTCATTCTCTGTCTCTCAAAAATAAATAAACGAAAGAAAGAAAGAAAGAAAGAAAGAAAGAAAGAAAGAAAGAAAGAAAGAAAGAAAGAAAGAAAGAAAGAAAGAAAGAAAGAAACATATATGCTCAGTGTTGAAAATTTGGAAAGAAAAGGCAAAAAGAAAAAACAATAATTCATTAGTCTACCAACTTTCTAATTCAAAAATATAATAGTATATACAGTATGTGGTCCACATCAAGGAGTTTATTGATTCTGTAATATGCTAAAAACTTAGTGTAAAACTTTGTACTTTTATTTTCAGAATTCGTTTTCAGAAATACTACTCAATTTTTTCTCACTCAGATGTTAATTCCTTCATATCAACAAGATGATTAAAGTATTATAACTACATCTTAAAAATCAGAGTTCATAATTCAATTGGACTTCAAATCCACATTTGCTACGGTTTCTGAATCCTTCCTCTTAGTTACTTATAATCTGGAACAAATCATTTAAAGCTTCTTAGGTTGTTCTATGACCTCAAATCTAAAACCTGTAAGACTCTGCCACAGAAATGGCTGATGAAAGAAAAGGCTAATTCAATACATCTTTCAGGCACATTACTGGTACTGTGCTTCCTCTTCTTAAAAAAAAAAAAAAAAAGATGCCTTTTGCTCCACGTACCCTTTGTGCCTTGGCCCTCACCACAAACTGGGTCCTTACTATCTTCCTCACAAAGGCACCTGTAATAAGATATGGAAATTCAAAGTGGATTCTCTCTATTCCCTCCTAGTAGGTGCCAGACTGAAGAATTTGGGAACTTCTTAGAAAAATAAAGCAGGTCTGTGTCCGGTCATCATTCAAATGCGTTAACTAAGCATCTTAGTGTGCCCCAGCCTTTTACATAATAACTGAACATTTAAGGGTCTCAATGTATCTACTGCATGACAGGCACTGTGCTCCAAGCGTTACTGGCATCCAGCTAATCTTCATGCCAAGCCCGTGAAGTATATTATCTTTCTCCTTTCACCTTTACCAAAACTCAAGCCAGGTGAGTGTCTTACTCAAGGGGTCACAGTTAAAAATGCTGCAGAGTTAGTGTGCCAACCAGGTGTTTCTCGCGCAAACTGCTCAGCTCATCCTAGAAGCACCCTACATTCAAAATTTGCATGAGAAACATGTTGGGTTGTCACTAGGTCTTGCTCGTTCTCCAAAAATCTCTAGGAAATACTAGCCCAGACTCCCTCGCAGTGGGTGCTGCCTGCCTAAGGACAAGTGAGCACCGGGTGACGCCAGGGGCTAAGACAGAGGAGCAGTGGGCACTCTGCGACCTCCATCACCAGGGAGGGAACCCCATGACCCATGTCCGTGGTGATGACGATGATGATGCCTTAGTTACCGTCCTCAGTGGTAGGTCCGTAACACACCCTCCCTCCCATAATGCTCACAACCCGTGACGCTCATTATTATGCTTTTACAGATAAGAACTAAGGTGCGGATAAATCCCGGCACTGCTCACGGTAACCCCGCTGACTCATGGTGCTCCGGGACCTCTCCTGGCTGCGTCCCAGGGACCCCAGACGACCCGTGTACCGCCCCCCCTTCAGCCCCTCCCAGGGAGGGCCCCTTTCCGGTCCCTTCTCCAGGTCGCCCCTCGCCCCATAGCGCGGAGCTTCCTGCGCCGCTCCCGGAACCCCCTCAAGCCGGAGGGCCCCGGCGCGAGCTGCGCTGCCCACGCCGTCGCAGGGATCCCGGCAGCGATGGCGGCCGCGACAGCCTCACTTACGCCGATCGCGGAGCAGGGCGCCCGCAGCTCGCAGGGCCGCAGCCATGTTGATGCCGCCTGAGAGCTTTCCCGGGGCAGCTTCGGCCCGGGACTCGGGTTCCTCCCACGGCGGCGCGATCGGGTATCTTCCCGGAGAGCTCCGAGCTGCTGGCACTGCCACCACAGGCCGCCTTATCTTAAGTTGCGGCCCCCTGCGCCCTCGCGGCGCACCCGTTCATTCGCTGCCTGGCCGGGCCTAGCCGGGGCTCGGGGGCGGGGCCAGGGGAAGACACGCCCCTCGAGACAGCTGGCCCGGGCGTGGGGCCTT